AGTGGTTTGTATTTCTCTGGTAGAGTCCTGAATTATAAAAGCCGAGTAGATGGCCAGTTATTACATGAAAAAGGCAATAGGAAGAGATACCTTTAGCAGTCATTTGCAAGATTTGTTTACATTAAAACAACTATGTATTTATTTTCCAGCCATGGACACATTAGCACAAAGCATGGAGCCCCACATACTGGTACTAGTCCTACAGACCAAACATATAGAAATAGCAGAGCTTTGCAAAGTGCATAAAATACTTATTGAATTGAATCCAATTAACCTGCCTTCTTGTAACTAGGTACTAGGTCCAGTACCTTACACTTAGTAGGCATTCACACACACACTGAATGAAGAACAGACTGTACTTGCAATCTGTCACCAGCATTTCCCAGGCAACAGACAATAATAACACGGCAAGCCTAGATCTACAACTTCTGCGACTTTTTGGTACAATTACAATGAAAGCATTCCCCAGGCCTTGCACATCTTCCTGGGCATAAATCCTGGAAGTTCCTCAGAATGTCTGGGATCAGGAAGGAGTCACTGTGCTCCATGGAGCAGCACGAGACTGCAGCCTGGAGTGCTTGGTGTGGTCAAGGGGCCATAAAAATCAGTAAAACCTCCCAACTCAGAGCCTATCGGGCCAAAGAAAATAGGAAACAGACAACCAAGGGCCAGACCCTGGATATGTAGTCAGTGTGAGCAATATAAATCCTCTTAAAATCAGCCCCAAATCTTGGTCAGAGCAGAGAGCGAGCGTACAAACTGAGAGAAGTAGCTGAGGAAATGTGATAAATGCAGGGCTGACTGCTGGGTGCGGGGCCAGAGAGAATGCACAGATGGATTTGGCAGGCAGTTCCAGGAAGCCACAAGTACCACACACAGGACAAGAAACACAGCCTGCAGGTCCAGCTTAGGGTGGAGAGGCAAGGAGTGCAGTGGGTGAGCACAGAGGCTTCCGCGCCAGTCTCTGTGGGTTGACTTTTTGGCTCTGTTACTTCCTAGCTAAGGACAAGTGAGTTAAGCTCTCTGGATCCAGCCGTCTTTCAGGGTTAATCGTAGTGCCTGCCCTCTTGATTCTTGTGAAGATTAAATGAGTTTATACATGTCAAGCATCTGGCATTCAAAAATTAGTGACGTAATTTATAGGCGTAGTTGATACACTGTGGGTCACATTTTTGTTTTGTCAAAGTCTGCAATCAAACTTTGTATTTCATTCATTCATCCATATTTCTTGAGTGCTTAATATGTGACTGGCACTGGGAACACAATGAAGATCTAAAACAGACAGGTTCCTGCTTTTGTGGACCAGAAATAGAAAATATTGGAGGGTCAGTGTTAGGTTAGTGGTACAGGAGAATCAAGCAGCCTTGAATGGATTTCAAAGAGACTCTAAAGAATGAGTATAAATGTATAGAAAGAATAAAGAAAGAGGGAGAAAGGAAACATAAGATACTTCTCTCTGATGATCCTAACTATTATTTTGGTAACTCCACAGAAAACTAGGAGTATTTTAATTTCAGCTAAACCATATTTTTGGCAAATTGAATCTTCATATAAATAAACAATATAAATTAACTATGCTCATGAAAAAAAAAGTTGCCCAACCTTAAACTTATTTGGAGCCAATTATATTCATCACCACATACCACACAAGGAACTTGTTAGAAGAAGCAGTGTTTACATAACCCAGGAGTGGGAAAGTAGAAATGAAGCTCTGGAATAAGGAATTTTGTCTATTGATCCTTCAAAGCCACATATAACAGGCAGCTGAGTGTTGGCGTAGGCACTCAGTCAGTCAGCTAATCTTCCAGTATTCACTGGACCACCTACTAATGGTGAGACTCTCCTTGAATCTGATGCTAGAGAGATACATAGGGCATGGTCCCTGTAGTCAGAAGGCTCATAGTTTTGGGCCAGGTGGTCATAGAGCAGGTAATGCAATGGGATAAGATACTACAGAAGCACAGAATTCATTCATGCATTTATTCATTCATTCGTTGCTTGGCGCGGCAAATATTTGAGTTACATATGATGTGCAAGACACCATAGAAAGTGTTGGGGATATAGCCATGAGTACGATAGATAATCCTTGCCCTCTTGAATCCATCATGGCTCTGCCTGCTATGGTTATAGAGAAGCTTTGATTTGGGTCTTGAAGAATGAGGAGTTATGAAGGCAGACAAAGTGAGAATGTGGAAAGAGGGAATTTCTCTTGCGTTTGGGAGTCCCAAGGGTCTCCTGAGTCTCTGTGTCTTTGCAAAAAGGACACTGGCACTCAGCTCTGGTGACCCCGTCTCAACCCCAGATGGCCACACCTTGGGTCCTTGCAATAGAGATTTATGATGGGTGATGACTGTGTTTTGTCTGTAAATAATGACTTTTTGCCCAGGCTCTGCTACCCTCAGGCATCTCATGGACAGTCACACGGAGACATTTTAGGACACTTGTTTTCCTTCCTTTTAATTAGTCCCTACAAGGCTTAACAAAAATATATCCAGGTATATTTTTAGACATCTGAAGTCTCCAAGTTTAGCCTTTAATTTCAATCCTCATCTTAGATACTTAAATATTGATTTTTAACATGATTTTTTTCACTCCAGAAAATGGTCTATAGGCAAGTTCAGTTGTCATGGACATGGATAGTCCTTCAGTATGAGAACCGTAAGTGAATATATGGCCAAATATTAGTATACTAGCCTCTATGTAGTTTGGAATGTAATTATAATAGCTTCAAGTATAATAAAATCTAAAATACCCTGATAATATGTTTAACTTTTTCTTTCTTTTGTCTTTTTTAAGGCATTTTGAGGAGCTGGAATATTTTTGTGAGGTTCTTTCTCTCTAACCTTGACTTATGTTACAGATAATATCAAATTCCATTTATTTTTCTCTACATAATTAGAAAATTAAAACAACCAGATTTTCTACTGCCATTCTTCCCCACCTTTTGTTTTCTTTATGAGTAAGGAAAGGATAAGTCAGGAAACTGTTATTAGAGGATTATTCCCAAGAATATTTTCCTGGTTGTCCTGTTCAGCTTGATCTATGTCTTTTGCTTGTGGAGAACCATGGAAGCCATGTTGCCAAGGATGATCCTGCGGCCCCCTGAGGTCCTGAGAGGCTGCTGAGTCACAATGCACTTAATCAGGAGCAGCCTGGTGTTAGTCATCAGTATATTTTATTATGTTCTAATTCTTTCAAAATTAGTGGTTCCCTGTGGGGAAAGTGACTCCAATTCTAACATAAGAAGAGGCATTTTCTGCTAAATTCCCAGATGCATATAAGGGCACAAGCATTGACAGATGAGGTTGTATCTAGCACCTAAAAAGTACCAACTCCAATTAGCTACTAAACTAATACCCAGTAGACTTACCCATAATGGTTTTCTCACTGAACAGTTTGATTAGCAATCAAGCATTAAGTGTTGACTAGTCAGAGTTAGCTGTGTGCTTTGAAAACTCAGCTGAGATTACGTTTTTACTTTGGAGAAATCATTGTCTTCCTGCTGAGCTCCTCACAGAAACACCAGCCCCTGAATAGGTGGTAGGAACAGACACGGTGGTCAGTGCCCTGAGCTCTCATTGACATATTGGTCTTTTGTGAGCTCGGATAACACCACCAAGGTCACGTGCAATGGAATCGGGTGTTTGGAAAGTATATGAGCGGGCATGCAAGTCTGGACAACTGTTAGAAAGGAAGAAAGGCTTTTTAAAAAAAGATTCCAGGTTATATCTTGACCCCAAGAGGTGTTTATTAGGAGCACAGAAGACACCAAAGCTGCAAATCAGGAACAACTGTTATATGTGTAGTGTAAAACAACAATAGAAATAAACAAACAAACAAACAAAACACAAAACCCTGTTAGTTGCTCACCGGAGTCTTTTTTACCAACTATTCTCAGAAAAAAATACTATATCAACTCCTTTTTTTCTGGAAATTATCAACTGAGATATTAAAAGTGATTATTTTTAAGTGCTGGAATCTTACTTGTTGTATCTTCTAATTCGTCTACAGTGAACTTGCATTACATTTATAGTAAAAACAAAATTATTTGTAATTGGAAAAATTTTAAGTTCCTTCCATGCCTGCTACCTGTCAAATTGGCTATTTTCATTTATTAATATTTCCTTCTAGGTTTTGTCGATTCCACGTAATTTCTCAATAGATGTAATTAAACAGAGAGGCAGTTCTGCATTCTGCTATTTCAAAGCGTTGTTGCATGTGAAAAACAGACAGCAGAGACTGTCTATGATGTAAGCCAGGGTAACCCAGACCCCAGTCTAATGCCACCCTGTCTTGGGCCTCAAGATAGGTGCTCCCACCTGTCAGGTGATCTTGTGATAGGATCTGGATGATGAGGTGTCAGAGTACAGATATGTTTCTTTGTTGTTTGCCTGTGAAAATGTATAGTTTGTTAATAGTACGGTAAATTATTTGGAATAAGAGGTCTTCTCTATGGAAAAGAAACATGAATCGGTTTAAATTTTTATGGGACTGAATCAGCCAAATCAAACACAGGCTTTTCTGAAGCTTCCAAGTTTTAATGGAAACTCATGCTCCTCAGAACTTTGCTGCCTAATTATAATTCATGCCTTTTGCAGATACATTACAGGGTGGACCAAAAGGAAAATGTTAGACGTGTTAACTTGTGATTTCTATTGTGTTACTTGTGGAGTGCCAACTGCATACGTTGAATGGCCTGGTGCATGCAAAGACATAGCCCAGTTCCTGGAAGGCCGAACCACTTCAGAAGGAAGGAGAAAGATTGACTTTCAGTCTAGCAAATGCGGGCTGCACGCTTGCATACACAGCCAGCCTTCAACATGTGATTTTGCATAAGCTACCAGTGTCAGAATTCAATTTTAGAAGTCCTATGGTACCCATAACCTCAAACCAATCCACTTCATTGTCTTCATCAGAGAGGTAGTTTTGAAACCCAGGAAAACAGAACTATCAAGATTTCATTTTAAATAGAACTTTAAAAAAATTTTTATTTTAAACAGGTCTAACTGGTATCAAGGGAGAAAAAGGAAGTCCAGGTGTTGGAACTCAAGGTCCAAGAGGCCCTCCTGGACCAGCAGGTAAATTTTCCTACCCCCCAAAAAACAGCAAGAGGTAATTTTTTATATTAACTTGACATCGTAGGTAAGGAAAATGGCCACATTACATTCTTGTATCTAACTGAAATGGCTGTATTTCTCATTTTCTCCAGAGCCTAATTTGTTAGTAACAATCCTCCTATACAAGGTCAAAAAGTTATAGCATATTCTGGGATCTTATTGTTTGCACGAGTTAGGATAGGATAGACTATGCTGTAGTAACAAAGAAGTCCCAAGTCCTTGGTTGGTTGACACAATGAAGCTTTATTTCACACTCATACACATTTTGATGTGGGTAGGGTAGCACTCCTCCGTTTTGGAAGCCACGACCTCCACCACAAATCATATGGCCTCCAAGAGAAGGTACATCAGTCTCAACTTCCTAAACAGAATGACATGTCACTTCCATTCATATTTCATTGTCTGGGACTAGTGACAGAGCTCCAACTGAACTGTAAGGGAGACATGAAACCTAGAGGAGCACAAAGGTATTTGGTGAGCACAAGTTGTTCCTGCCATCACAGTCTTACTGAATGAGTTTTGTGGAAGTTTTGAGTTTTGTTTATCGCATGCTCTTAGAATGCTCTCCAGATGAGCAGACTTGCTATTAGATTTATAAGTTTTCAGTCTTCTTGTATATTTATAATCTGTTTTAGCCATATTGAGTCAAATGCTTTACAGATTTTTCATTCCAATCTAATAATGATTTTGGAATACACTCTAAAAGAGGTTCCTAATGAAATAGATTCATTTCGAGTGTAAATATTTCTGTTGTTAGAGACAGTAATGAGGAACTGATCTAGCATCATGAATTGCACAGAATGGATGGTTTGTGAATGTTGATTGAATGGAGCTGAATGTGTCTGAGAGCCATTACACTATTCAAATATAAGGTGACGTTTGTTCCTACTTTTCATTTCAGTTCTAGTTGAAGAATTTCATTTCTAGTTGAAGATTGTCTTTTAAACACTAGGGCTAAAAACAAACAAGCATGCAAGCCAAAAAAAAAAAAAAAAACCATGCTGATAAACTTCTTCAATTCACAATTTTAATCCTCTTCCATTTTTATGTAATGTAAGTTCTCAATTAATGTAAACTAGCCTAAAGAAATTTTGGGTAATTATATCGGGTTCAATTTCAGATTTGTCATTTGTCTCCTCCAGAATAATTTCTTTCAGACTCAGACAAATTTATTTTAATTATATAAGGCCATGAGCCAGTACCTATTTGCATGGCTATTCTCACTAATTGTAAGGGTGAGATTTGAGTGTGTTCATGTGTGTACATGTCCATACATTGGATTCATAAGGAACTGTATTGGGAAACAAAAGCTCCATAAGGAAAAGAAGGTTAAGAGTAGAATGTTCCTTTCTCTTTATTATCCAAGAGGCAGTAGAAAAGAATACATTTTGCTTCCTAGTTTCCAGAGCTACTGACCTACAGGAGGATGTGTGATTACAGTATGACCCTAAGCCCAGGGAATCCAGTTTAAGAAAACAAACTCAATGGGCAGAGAGAAGCAGATTATCCTAATTGTCCTCAAGTTTACTTCTTGTAAGAGTTAGTTTACTTCTTGGTGGTCTCAAAACTCACCCTCCAAATGTTTATTTGTGGGTGCTTCCTAGGACCATCAGGGGAGAGTCGGCCTGGCAGCCCTGGGCCCCCTGGCTCTCCTGGACCAAGGGGTCCGCCGGGTCATCTGGGGGTGCCTGGACCACAAGGTCCTTCCGGTCAGCCTGGCTATTGTGACCCGTCATCATGTTCTGCCTATGGTGTGGGAGGTAAGTGCTTGCCCTTGTGGGCTTTAAGCAATATTTTACTAGAGTTACACCAAAATGGGGAGGGGATGCCTTGAAAAGAGACCAGTTATGGGCGGGAAGCAGAACCTGAACTCCTCACTACCTTAAATCATCCAGAGACATCTACAAAGCGCAAATTACTGTAGAGGCTACTCCTTCAAAACCCGAAAAGGAAATTCCAAATAACAGCATGTATAAGTCTTCCTTGCTTTCAAATGGTGCTTGCCATAGACTTGGCCTCTGACCTCATATTTGTTCGTTTGTGGGACATGGTTGAACATTCTTTTGGAGCCTCCATTCTATGTGGCTGCTGTGGTGAGACCATGACGTCCTTGTCAAACTTTGCTCATGTTTTGGGAAAGTGTCAAACTTCCCCCATAATTAGAGGGGCTCCCTAGATTCTTCTGGGTGATATCTTGCCCACCACGTGCACTTTAGGTGACCAAGGATAGTTTTAAGAGGAAACCAAAGTCACCATGCTGTCCTTGTCTCATCACTAACTCCCAGCCTGAAAGATTAAGCTTTCTACAAACATCTACAGTCTGCATGTTGGCGTGCTGTGCAATGGCTCCTTTTCCGACATAGTCACTCTTGGAAACGTCAAGAGAAAGGCTCAGAGACTGCTTATGAGGCAATGAACTTATTAGTTAATGAATTGAAATTTTCTGCTTCAAGAGAAATTTAACCTTAGTTACCAGAGGAATTGGTCAAAGTTTTGCTGATGTGTTTTTCTCTGTTCATCTTTTCCCTCCCTGTTCCCTCAAATCCTCCTGTCCCTTATTAAGATCTGATCCCCTACAATGATTACCAGCACTGAAGTGGAAATCTTCCACTCTGTTTTCATTGGCCCGGGCATTTGGCTACAGATACAGAACTGTCCTGTTGACCACCACCACCAAGCCCCTGCCCCTAACAACGGACACTTCGCTTCCCTGCCTCACCCGCTTCCCTGCCTTCCCACTTTCACATCTCTTGCCCACCCTGCTCTAAACACAATGGAGTGATAACATTGGAACTTAACCAAATCGTAAATGTCAATTGTAACAGAAACTGGCTGCTCCATGTCAGCCTAGATAGAGATTTATGATCGGGGGCCAAGAATTTAGCCCAAACTCCCCTGTGCGGAGGCTCCGTAATAAAGTTACTTACCTGTGCCTCTTCCTCCTTCCCATCCCTACACAGGTGGGTGGGCATCTTCCTCCCTGCCTGCCCCACCCTCCCCACTCTTTCCTGGTGATGGACTTCTAACATGAGATTGGTTTTCAAAATTTATATTTCTTTCATAATTCTGCTGAGTTTTCAGGGTTTCTTTTGTAAATAAAATTTGATATTTAAGCAGCTGGCTATGATTCTAATTTTCTAACAATTTCTGTAACGTGTCTTTCCCTTTCTCGTTTTACTAACTGTCTGAAACCTCATGGGGAAGGTGCAAGGGGCGTGCTGGGTTAAGGCACCTGCTGCTTTCTACCCAAGCAGGATATCTCTGTGTCTCTCAGGACCCATGTGAGGGGAGAACATCAATTTATGGTTTCTGGGTCCTACCAAGTCCCCACCCCCACTTTTCCTCTTTAGCTTCCCGTCCGGATCAGCCAGAATTCACCCCTGTACAAGATGAGCTGGAAGCCCTGGAACTGTGGGGCCCCGGGATCTGATCACCTCAGGAGAACTTAGAAGACCAACTGCAAGAACTCTTAAGGAACCTTATTTGAGAAAATATTGTCATGTGGTTTGTATGCTACTTCTGGGGGGCTCATTTCAGCAGCCTAAATTTCCTCTTTGGATAATATTAATATTATTGTTATTAACAAAAAAATATATTTTTAAAAAAATCCCCTTAATCTATGACACTGTAGAAATGATTTCCCTTTGCTATTTTAATGGCATGCCAGATAATTTGTTTTTCCAGAGAATAGTGCTCAGAGAGGAATTGGGAAAAATAAATTGAACCCTGGAATCCTTTCTCTCAAGTTCTAAGATGAACAAAACAGATATGATCGTGTTTGAGGGAAATGGGGCCCCAGCAGAAAACGAATTCAAAGAGAGTCAAAGATTATACCATTTACTCCTACCCCCATGGGAATGACCTTGCTGGTAAGAAAAAAGGGACATTATTGGAGAAACTACCTCTTGTTTAATTGATCTGTCCAACTCTGAGATCACTTGGTAACTGGTTTCACGGGTATCCAAAACTAAGTGTTAGAATATAACCTTTCTGAATCTGGTAATTTAAAAGATAGATTTAGTTTTTTCAGTGGTTTTTAACTGATGCAAACTAATGACTTTCTACCAGCTCTAATGCAAAGGGATCCAATATTGATGAGCAATTTATCCAGCGTTATGTTCCAGGGGCTGCCTCTCCTCATCTACAGGGATTACTTTGTACATGAAGATAAGTTGTTGCAAACCTATTTCCATTCCCTTTTGTAAGCAAATAAAAATTTAAAATAACCTATGTGGATTCTTTTTACTGCATTTCTAAATATTACCTTAAAATTTTATAGTCTTAGCTGAATGTCTACCAGAGAAACAACAGTTGCCTTCCTTAAGGTAAACATTCAAACTTTCATTCATTCATTCACTCATTCATTTGTTCATTCTGAGTGGAGTAAGAAGCTTAACAGAAGCAGCAGTTGACTTGGGACTAAGAAACTACCAGAATTTTATTATTCATTATAATCTACAAGGAGCAAAGGCAGCACTAATGCATGACTGCTGCTAAAGAAATGTTTACTGATAGTTGAGGAGCCCGTCTATCTTCTGGTATTGAGAAAGCCTATAAAACCCTAAAGAGCAGAGAGGAAATGAGGTTGAATCTAATAGACTCTAACCCTGAAACTATACTTTGTCTTTTGCTCACAAAGGAAAAATCTAGGTATTTGAGAAAGAGTTGAGTTTTATTATTTGCAAGTTGAAAATAGAACTAAAACAGAAACATAAATTGAATGTACACTCCTTTTGCCCCTGTAACATCTCTCTAGTAACAGCTAATTTTAAAAAGTAGGGATGGGATCATTTACAACCAGAAGCAGAATTCTTTCTGAATCAGGAAAAGTCTAGTAAGAAGGATAGTGTCTGTCTGATCACCAGGCTCTCTGACCTTCTCTCCTCCTAAGAATCTCCTGATCTTTGGTTCCTATCACAGATGCAAGAAGATCTCTTCATCCAAAGGATTCAAACAGTATGGTCTATTTGTGTGTCTTTGGGGATCCAAGCAAACAGTGTTTTGGTGTTTTTGCAGGGAATGGAAGAAGAAAGTAAACGGATAACCCACAGCCATTCCCTTTCAGTTATGGTATAGGATTCCACCTGGGAAAGCAGGATTTATGGAAAGGAAAACATACACAAGGCCAGTCAATACGGCCTGAGTGAGGATCACCTGAGAGAACTCCTCTATCTTAAATGACTGGGATGTGTGATTAGTCACTTCCTATCTCTGTGTCTCAGATTACTCAGTCTGTGACATTTAATGAGTGAGTATAGGGAAGGATATTCTATATGTTTCAATATTTGGCCCTTAGAAACTAATAGCCTAATACTGTGCCACTCGGAAGACCCTCAAAGTTTGTTATAAATGGTGAAGTGTAAATTACTGGAGGTTCTAATCCATTATTCACATCATTCTTTTTTTCTTTTCTTGGTTTTTTTTTTTTTTTTTTAAAACCCAGTCCCAACTTCTGCCTTCAACAGTATTAGTGCCGTACAGATCGTGTATTGAAACATAAACGCATGTGCCA